ACAACCGCCGAGTGTCAGCTTCCAAAGGGAAAGAAAACTTTATTATAGAAACCCAATAGAAACAGAAGACGAAAGGAATCTACACGTAGATGAAAGTAATAGGGGGCAATAAATGGGAACAAGGCAAAGTTACATCAGATCAGGTGCTTACAACACCCGACCTTATCAGCTGGGGAAGCCCCGTGGAGACACCCAGGGTGGAGTCCCCACTGAGAGGCCTGGGCGGCTCAGCCTTCCTGCAGCTGAGACTTCCCACTGACCATCCCCATAAGGGCCATATTTATAGGGCCAGTGACGGGGTCTGAGGTTAAACATTGGTTCACCTACGTGCAGTTTGGAGTGAGCTGCATTTCCATGTTCTCATGTTTCTATGTCGTCAAGGAGCCTGGGCTATGTGTGTCTGCCTCCCGTCAGGGATTCCATCCTGGGGGGCCAGCCCAGCCTGGAGCAGGAGGGGATGTGAGACAAGATTCGTAGCCCTTGGCGTCCAGAACAGAAGGGCCAGTTCTGACCTGGAGGCCAAATCATATATTGTACATAACCAGGCTCCCGAGGTTATTCACGCAGCACGAGTCTCACAAACGCCATTCCTCAGCCTGCCTGTGCACGTCCCGGTGGTGGGTTCTGCGGGATAAATCACACAAACATCTGTCCATACGGCACAAGCAGCCATCGGGTGTTTCTCCCAGCCAGGTGTCTGGATACAGGAAGAGGTTGGTGTGTCCACAGCAATTGGGCTCAGGAACAGTCCACATGGGACCCCTCCAGCCCCCTGAGTCCACGTGGGTGGAGTCAGCCTGTCTCCTGTTGGGTGACAGGGACCAGGTGGCTTCTTGCCTCAGTTTCCATGGCCCCTCCCTTCCATGGCTCCCCCTCCCATCGGTGGAAGGTCCGCCTCCCTCCCACCCCCTCCCCATCCTTTCGGGGCCTTCTAGGGAGACTCGGACTCCAGGATCCAGGCACCAGGCAGCCTCCTTGGCTCCCAAGGCCCCGGCCCTTCAGAAAACTCTCTGTCTGCCAGCAAAGCCTCTTATCTTCCCGAAGCAGAACAATTTTGGCTCAAAGACCAAGGACATCTTTATCCTTCAGGGGAATCCACCTCTGAGCTGGAGCGGGTGGGGAATCCTTGCCCTTGTGACCTGTGGGAATGAAAAAATGGAAAATCTACTGGTTAAAAGTTTTACGATAAGATCTCAGCCTCTTTTCCTCCTAAGGTCATAAAGGAAGCAGATTTGACACATGAGCAAGGTTGCCCGAGAAACAGTCTGGGAAGGCCCGACGTGGTGCCCGTGGGACTGAGGCCTGCGGGCACTGTGGGGGGCAGGGGTCGTCACCCTGATCCCCAGCCGACGTTTCCACCCCACAGGCCGACCCGGTGACCATCCAGGACGTCTGTGGCCGGGCCGTCCAGAACGCCGTGCACGTGTGGAGCAACATCCCAGCTGTGAGAAGGTTCCCTGTGTGTTCCAGGGCCCGTGGGAGCTGGGGCGGGGGAGGGGGCGCGGACGCTGGCGCAGCGTCAGGCTCGCCAAAGAAACGCAAGTTTGAGAACACAGAGCTATGCCCGGGTCAGGGGCTGTGTCTGGTGGGCCTTTGGTCCGCCCCCAAAATTCTGGGCATGCTCAAGGTCAGAAGGCCTGCTCCCACTTTGGGGACCTCTCCCCAGCTTCGTGCACTAAGGCTGTCTGAGGTGCTTCCCAAGTCCTGAGAAGAAAGTCCACACTCCCAGACACATGTCACCTGGCCACCTGCGCCCTGGAGCCCTACCCCCAGCCTCTTGGAGCTCCGCCCTGCCCTACACACCCCCACACCTGCACACACTCACACCCACCTGCTCACACTCATCCACACACCTACACCTGCCCACACATTCATGCCCATCCGCTCACAGACCCACACCTGCTCACACATATTCACATACCTGCTCGCATGTTCACACCCACCTGCTCACACTCATCCACACACCCACACCTGCTCACACATTCATGCCCATCTGCTCACACATATTCACACACCTCACATTCATCCACACGCCTGCTCGCACTCAGACCACCTGCTCACACTCATTCACACACCCACACCTGCTCACACATATTCACATACCTACTCACAAACGCCCACTTGCTCACACTCATCCACACGCCTGCTCACACACCCATCTGCTCATTCACACCCACACCTGTTCACATATTCACACCTATCTACTCACACACACCTGCTCATACACTGACATCCACCTGCTCACATTCTTTCACACATCACATCTCACAGCTGCTCGTGCTTACACCTACCTGCTCAAGCTCACACACAACTCACAGTCTTTTGCTCACATTTACACACCTGCTCATACATTCCTATTCAGCTCATGTTTGTTCACACCCTCACACCCACCTCCTAACACTCGTTCACACACCTGCTCATGCTCACACACAGGCTCACATCCACACACCTGCTCACATACCCACCTGCTCACACTCATTCACACACCCACACCTGCTCACACATATTCACATGCCTGCTCACACTCACACCTACCTGCTCACATTCATTCACACATCACACCTGCTCACACACAGCTGCTCATGCTCACAGAACTCAGTCCTCTGCTCCCACTCATTCATACACCTGCTCATATGCTCACACCCACCTGCTCACACTCATTCACACACAGGTTCACACACACTCATGCTAACACAAGCTCACCCACAATGCATTTCTAGGCTGTACTGAACAACAGTCCCTCAAACACACTATGCCTTGGGCCTTCACACATACCCCTTCTCTGCTGCCTGAACATTCTTGGGACTGTTCTTTCTCATGAACATCCTGTCTGCCTCCCGGCCCCCAGCACACCCCCAGCCCCTGCTCCCCTGGCCCCACTCCTCTGGACAGCTTTCTGCTTCCAGGACACCTGCCCTCACTCTTCTGTCCTTACCTGCACACTGTGCCCAGAGCCCCTGAGGACACAGCCATCTCCCTCCCCCACACCGTGCCATGTGGCACTGCCCTTGTGTTGAGCCAACACTGACAGGATCTAAGCGAAGTCATGTCTTCTCCTCCTGACAGCGAGTTTCTGGAAACTTCTGCCCACCCACCTCCCAATCCCAGCATGCCCCTAGCCTGTAGTTCTGGAAACTTCTGCCCACCCACCTCCCAATCCCAGCATGCC